CACCTATTTGGGAGGCCGGACGCGGCGGCCTCAGATGGGACAGGGTGGGAGCAACTTCGGGCTCGCGGGCCAGGCGTCCGGCCGGGACCCAGGAAAACAGTGGTCCGGGAAGCCTTGGCTGCATTTCGGTTGCCCCCCACCCCCGGATATCGGCTGTGCGTGTCTGGGTTTTGGAAGGTACGCCAGAACTGCCCTCCCGCATTGGCGGGGCAGCGTGTCTGAGGGGGCCATTATCATCCGGCTACCCTCGTGCGCTCGTCCTGGGCCGAGGCGCCAGCCTCTGAACTCCTCCCCGCGTCCAGATGGGGAAGGAATGGGATGAAAGGAGCGGGGCTTGCAGCCGCATGGTTTTGGCAGAAGGTGTCGGCGGCTCCATGTGCTATTCCCCTGCCTTTTTTATTAAACACAACCGGATACCTTTGCCGCCTTCTGGTGGGGACACTAATTTAAGCGAAAGATGCATACGTCTTGTCGGTCCCACACCAATGTGAAGACTCATAACTGGTTTCCATGGTGAAAGAAAGCGGGGGACAACGGGGGAGGGGAGAGGGCGCTTCTACAAAATCCACTTAATGGCAGTTCTGCCCGGGTCGTTTCCGTTTTGGGCCAGCCTTTCTGAGGACCCGCTTTTAGGCAGCTTTCCATGGTGCTGAAAAGAGAGGGTAGGAAATTAAGTTGAGTTCGTGCGTTTCCCTTGGGTTCCTCAGCAGGATAGAAGCTGTGTAACTTCATCCCCTTTTTCCTTAATTTTTTCCTTTTTTAACTTGGTGGTTGTTGTTGGTTTTGTTTTGTTTTTTGCATATTCAGAGTAGAAATAAATATGGGAATACTGACATCTTCAGAGTCCTATTAGAGTACAGGTCCTACAACCCTGTCTAAATATGAAAGCAAGTCTCATCCATATCAATAGATCAAATATTATGCTATTAGTGTTGCACTAGAATGTTTAGTATCACAATCTATTTATCTGGAGGGGCAACTTTCCTGGGTTACTTGATTTTTCATATAGTGGTTTGTCCCAAACTGTTGTTTTATATGAATTTAACACTCGCAACAGCTGATGACTTTATGATTTCACAACAGTGATGTTTTTGTCACATGTGTGTATGCCGGTATAGTACATGTATTACACTGCAATTTTTAAAAATTATACTTGGCTAGGGTCTGCATACATTCCTGGCTCAAGCTCACTTTTCCAGGGACTCCCTGGCTGTCACAATTGTTCTGGATAATGTTTCCTCTTTCTGGAAAGCCAGAATTCAGAATGATTTACACCAGTGCAGTATCCCATGTAAAGCCCTCTAGGCCGTAGGGTTATCAAGAGCTACAGCTACAACTACAGCAGCAGTTCTCCTGGCAGACCAGGGCAAAGTAGGTAATCAATACTGGCAGGATACACACAGGAAGCCTTTCACGCCAACAGATCAGTTCAATATTAACTGCCCAATGCACTGTAGAGCTTTTCCCGTGGTCCACTTTAATGTCTTGCCCCCTGCAATATTGAAGGGAAGGTATGACCCTTTTGCAAAATGAGCCTGCCCCTGTGACCAGGAGGAACATGAGACTCTAGCCCACATGTTCCTTCAGTGTGCTTTCCTCAACAACTTGCGCCCTTGTGTTGTAACTCCACTCGCTAATAGAAGTTCCACCTGTTCAGAGGACAGTGTTGTTTGCTTTTTACTGTTGGACCAGAACCCTAAGAACTCCAGGAAAGTCAAAGAATTTATTTAGCTACCATTGTTTTATGCAGAAAATTAGTCTCCTAATTTTAGGATCTCATAAATATACAAGATTTTAGTGTTTCCTATGCTGTTTTATGTTTTTATATTTTCTGTTATTTCTCATATATGCTGGATCATGATAAGATACACACACTTAGTAGTTTAGTACTTAGCATGTTAGTATTTTATTCATAAAGTAATTTTATAATCTAGTGTTTATATTTTAAGTATTTTACTATTTGTATTTATAGTGTTTAGTTCTCTGAACCATTTTATATAATTGATCTTCTAGAAAATGTTTGTATATCTTACTCTGAGCCCTGTAATTTCTTATAACAATTGTATAAAATGCTGGTCAGTAACTGTAATAATAATACTATTACTTGGCTGATCTTGATAAGTTAAAGAGGACTGGACCTGGATGATATTTGGATGGGAGACCATCAGGAAATTCCAGAGCTATAGGCTAGACTGGGAAGTTGAAAAAACATCCTGGACCCCATGGAAATATGTTTTTATATATGATAACAGCAGCGAGACTTTTATATGCACAACGGTGGAAAGATTTGCTATTACCTGCAGTGGAAGAATGGGTGGTAAAGTTGATGGAGCTGGCTGAGATGGTGAAATTGACAGCTTTGATTAGAGAAAAGACATTGATTAATTTTAATGCTGATTGGAAACCCCTTTTGGACTTTTTGTGTGAAAAATAAAAAA